CCCGTGGCTGCCGCTGTCTCGGGGAGGGTAAAGCTGGGTGCCCCGCTTGTGGGGAGAGGGGAGAGTCAGAGGGAAGAGGCGTTGACGCAGGACATCGCCCTTCCGCAGCGCGTCTCTGCGGGGGTCCCTCTGCTCCATCGCCCTCTCTGCCCGCTCAGGCTGGTGGGGTGGAGCTGCTGGGGGTCCAGCTGAGCTCGGGGGGCCATGGTGGTGATCCCGGCCTTCTGCTTTGGCTGAGGCCTGTGGCTGGCCCCATCTTGGCCTGAATCACCACCCTTTGGCTGCTGGGAAAAGGTCTTCCCTAGGTGCCTGCCAGGCTGCTTCTGGGGCCGCTGACCGTCGCCGAAGCCCCGTGGACCCCGTGGTGAGGCCCCCTTTTCCTCTTGCCTCTCACCAGCAGGGGCTTTGCTTTCTGCAGTCGGGTGGAGGGGCTGGGACCCCGCTGCGGGGCTCTGTCCCCAAAACGCTCTCCTGGTCGCCAGAACCGTTCTGGTCACTTTGTGAACCTGAGTGAACTGTAACATTTTGGTCCCTCTGGTCTTTAATTACTTGTTGGTGCTGATAAGCATACGTTTCGTAATTTGGTGACGTGACGATGATGCCCTCGGTGGCAGAGGAGGGAAGGAGTGGGGCGTGCGGTGAAGATTTATCGAGCCGTGCTGTGGGTTTGCAGGGCCTGCAGGCGGTGGTTTAGGAGCATGCCCTGAATCGGGGAAGAAGGATGGCTTTAATCAAAGCAGGCTTCATCAGGATAAACTTTCATGAAGTATTCCTCATGGAGTTCCTGTAACCAGGGTAATCAGTTGAGTGATCTTTGTGGATATACATGATCTCTTTCAATATCTCACTGTTTTATAAAAGTCTGTACATCGGTCTTTTTAAAAGCTGAGTAAAGCTTAATTTTAAAGCCAGTGTTAATGAGGCAGTAATGCAGATTTTTGATTACACACAAGTGGAAAATCTGACAAATACAGGTCCAGACTTATGCCTTGTCTTATACCCCTATAGTGGGGGTAAATCCTATGGAAAATCTGTTTAAACAGTTAGGCTTCTTTGGGGTTTAGGCTGATGGAACCGAGATCAGGTCTCACATCTGGCTCCGAGGTCTGTCCCCCTGCTCAGAACGTCTGCCCTAAAGGGTCTGGGTCTGGGCAGCGCCGGTAGCTGCCCAAAGCAGTCGGCTGTAAGGCGTGCGGGACCCCAGGTGAGGGTGCTGGGGAAACCACAGGTGATGCTCAGTGCTGATGAGAGTAGGAATACGCTGCAAGCTGTAGTTGGGATGTGCCTTAGTGCAGAGGTCAGGCGTAAAGTGGTGAAGCAATGCTGCGCTGGCTACAAAAGGCGCTTTGATTCAAATAATCGGCTCTGGTGTGATGTCGTGGGAAGGAATGCATTTAAACTTAGGCCTGACCTTGGTGGACACAACTTCCACCAAAGTCAGGTGAGCTGCTTAGTGTGAGTCCCAGTGCTCCTCTACCAAAAATTGCGTGTTACTGTACAAATAAAAGAATTGCCTCTTGCTGATGGCAGCCGGCAGTAAAAGCGGCGGGGGCCCGGCCAGCACCTGTGCTTCTGAGGGCGTAGGCAAGGGGAGAGGGGCCCGGTTCACCCGAAGCCAGCAGAAGTGGACACTGATGGTTCCCAAAGTGCAGGTGCCCGCTGAAGCGAGGGTCTGCGGGTGCAGCGAGGGTGTCCGTGTCCGTGGATGCTGTCTTTGCGGGGGGCTACGGTCGTCTTTCCAGTTGGTGGAGGAGAAGCACTGTAGGGTTGGAGTACAGCAGATCTCTGCTTAGGGTGCAAAGAATCCTTTACCTCAAGGTTTTATCTTTCTCTCCAGGGACTATAAGAGGCTTAGATGTAAGTGTGTAAGCTGGGTGTGATGAGTCCCATCCCAGACATGCCCTTACAAGTTTAAGCAATTTGTGTTTTCTCTAACAGTCACCTTCGAAAATTGGTGTGGTCAGTTTAGCTTTGATATTGTGAGGGAATTGTGCAGAACCCGTCTGGGGTTTAGATGCTGGTGAAGCAGCCCTGTAAGTGCCTGTGTTCCTCACGGAGTCGGTGGTCGGGGTTGGGCCTCTTTGGAGGTCTCCGAATACAGATGGTGTCTCCCTAAATGAGAACGGGAACAAATTAGGAGTGAGATCAAAGCTATGTCTTGCCAACTTAAATCTGGGGGGACGCTTAGAAATATACCCAATCCAAATGCTTTGGAGTAATAACTTCACAGAGAAATTCAGTAATGAAAAAAAAGAGTAAAGTAAAGTAGCTGTTGCTTCAGTCAGCTTCCAGACACTTTTTGAATCAGTCTGATACCTTTCCAGTATGTTGTACTTTGTCGTATGTAATGATTGTCTTTTATATTGATTTAACTCACCTAGAGAGTATGAAGAACAGAGTTTTTAATTAAATGTGCAATTAAATGTAAGAAAAGTTTGCTATGATAAATAATAACAAACTTTTCCTGGAATGACTTTGTCTCAGAATACTGTGCCTGTATATGACAGACGACATCTCTCTATCATAATGCCTGAATAATTTTCATTTTTTTCCTTAGCGGTGGAATTCAGTGATGAGAGCATGGATGATGCAAAGCACCTTGTTCAGGCAATCTCCTCATTTATTAGAGATGGAAATGCTTATATAAAAGGACAGCTGGTATGTGACCCCGTTAGAGAAGACATACTGTGGGAAAGGTAAGTGTACCTGAAAGGTGGTGGTTATGCGAGCAGTAGTTTGCTGGCAGGCCCGGAGGGCTGAGCAGTGCGGTGTTTGGAGTTCTGTTTAAGAAGCAGGACAAGAAGAAGGACTGGGAAGGAGTCTGCCCTGCCAGCCCTCACCAAGGGCGGCTTTTTATTTTTCCCTTCTTTTTCTAGCCAGCTGCTTTTCCTCATAGTCTGCTACGCTTAGTTCACAGTGTTTTTAAAATCCGTGTTATTTCCCTAGTGTGCCTGCCCTAACACAGGCAGCTTTGCCCCTCTTGAGTGGTGTGGAAGGCAAAGCTGTGACTGAAGTTGTGAGGCTACCCGGTTCGTAAGTAGAACTGTGCATTAGCGACCGAAGACGAAAGAGGACAACTGGAAAGTAACACGCCTTGGGCACGGGAGCTGGTAATCAAGCTGGCTGGCACTGTGGCGTGCATCAGAGGAGAGAAGCGCTTACCAAGAAACTGGCCAGAGGCAGAGACATCACAAGGAAAGAAGAAATTATGGTGGTTGTGACCCTGACAGCGACAAGGAGAATCTTCTCCGGAGTCCTTTAGGAAAACCAGATCATCTTCCAGGAGAGGGACGTGCTGTGTGTTGGGTGTGAAACTGAGAAGACGAGCACAGTGCTCCGCAGTCAGGGTAGGAGGGATGTGGGGTGCCCTGGAGCGACGGACGTGCCGGCAGCTCTGGGACGCGGGGTCAGAGGGGGAACGGCCGGTGCTCTAGAAGTGAGAGGCACCTCGCTGTCGGGGAGCTTGTGCTGCACCGACTGAGGCTTGCAAGGGGCACTGGAACGTGTTGCAGGGAAGTGGAGTTGAATTAACGAGTTGTGATATTTGGCAAAAGCAAGTCCTTCAGCGGGAGGCTGCGGGAGACCTGTTGGTGAGAGATAAGGCTGAGAGATGTGAGGCACGTGGGGGAGCTGAAATGGATTGTCAGTGGGGGATGTGTGGGAGGGCACAACTTGGGTATCAGTAGGTGTAAAACCAACCGAAATGAAACAGAGCTCTTCATTAGGAAAGTGGTAGATACTCGGCGGAGAGGGGGGAAGAGTGTTGGGAGGAATGAGGTAGGGCAGCAGCCATCTGATATCTGAGGGGAGGCAGGCATTCCAGGGAAAACCACTCAGAAACAGGTAAAATAGGCAAAACGGGGTTCAGGAGAGCCCCGGAGGCACTAGGGTAGCTTGAGATTCCCCAGGTAACCCTGATCCTTGAGCTTTTTGGTGAAACAGCATCCTTGGGTCAGTGCTGTCGAGGTCCGGTTGGCCTGGCTGTGCCGCCAGCAGCCGTCCGCAGCTCGCCCTTTGTTCGGCTGCCGTCCTGGTCCTCCCGCTCAGAGCGGCTGGTGCTGGTTGGCACTGGTTCTGCGGTGATGGGTGCTGGTTGCCCGCTGGCTTCTGGCACTGTTACACAAACAGTCCCACCAGACCTTTCCATCCGGGCCAAGCCGAGGGGAGTCCCGGGGCTGGGACTGGGCTCGCCTGGGAAATGAGGAAACAGCACCCGCTTCCGATCTGGATTCTGCCAACGGGAGTGCTGGCCGACCCCAAGCTGACTCTCGTGCCAGGCCCTGGAGCGATGCACGTGATGTGGCTTCAGAAGAGAAGCGTGCCCTTAGCGTGAAAAACGTGCTGCTGGAAAAAAAGAACTCAGCAAAATCTTCCATGTGCTTAGTACCAACCTGATTTTCCATCTATTTTTAAAGGATTAAGGCAAACCTTGCTCTGCTGTTGTTGGCTCCTCTGATTAACCATGTATTTACTGAACGGACGTAGCACTTTGGATTTTGACACGCGTCAAGTTTTTTCCCTTCGCAGCTGAGAGATGTATTCTCCCTGGTCGGTGCAGCATCGCCCATCATAGGACGGCTGGGAAGGAAACGACAGTGTCCTTTCGGTGACTCCCTCTGGCTGAGTGGCTGATGAATTCAGCGTGCTGCTGGCATCTTGTTTGTCTTATCTTAAATGTTACCTTTTCTTCTTGAAGGCTAGCCAACACAAAAGTAACCGTGAAGGCTGCGTTTGCAGATGACTTTGACACCTCCAGGGCTGTTGCAGCAATTATGGACCTCATTCACCATGGCAACAGACAGCTTAAGGCTGTTACTAAGGTAACCCATTAGGATACAGAGATCAGAAAATGACAGCTGTCCACTGTCCTACTGTTTAATGCAGACAGATTAGTTTATTGTTCACATAAGAAACCAGCAGAAACAAAGCTCTGTAAATTGTTGACCTTAATGGTGCCCGTTTGTCCTGACCGTATCGCAGGAATTGTGTACGGCTATTCTTTTGTGCTTCGCTGTGTCCAAAGGATGTTTCTTTCCTGCTGCCCTATATTATTTATACCTAAGGTTTTTGAAAGGCCTGAAGCCATTGTGGCATGCTGCTAATTTTAGTGCTGGTTTTATGTTCTTACCCTGCTTCTTTGCTTAATACCCATGGACAGAAATCAACCTAAATTGGGAAATGGGGGGTGCTGGTTGCTGCGGGGGCTTTGGCAGGCAGTCCCAGATGCATGGAGCAGTCATGGTGCTGAGTTCAGCTTTGGGGACCGAGCGGCTTCTGCTGTCGGCAAATTATAACTGTGGCCTCAGCATGCCTGCACGAGTCCGTCTTCAGATGGCTTTTGGCAAATGGAGACCCAGTTAAGATCTGTCGATGCTGACACAAAGGAGGTGTCCGGTCAGCACAAGACCGGAGCAGCAAACGCGGTCTGAAGCACTCCTGGGTCTCCTTTTACCGACAGTGCCCTTCCTCGCTCGAGGCGAGCAGCTCAGCCTTGTTGCTCTGCTCCTCGGTTGCCGATGTCCGCCCTGCTTGTGCTGTGTTGAGTACACAGAATAACTGATTTTAAGAGAGAATTAGCCTGTTGGTTTAGAAATCCTGCCTCCTCCTGCTCCTGTGTTGGCGCTGGCTGTAAACGCTGTCCTAAGCCTTGTCTTTACAAAATGACTGTGAGCGAATCCCTGACCCGAGCCAGCCTGCAGCAGGGATCAGTAACAGCAGTACCCCTGCTAAATACAAGGAGCCTGATTTTGCCATTCGTTGCTCGTTTCCCCTGATCTCCTTCTGTCAGTCGTTTTGTTGAGAACTGGGGGGGGTATTTGCGGGGCCGCTGACTGGGATTTCTGGTCGTGGTGGAGGAGCTTTCCGGGGTGCAGCCCAGCCGTCTGAGCCTTACCTCTGACGGATGCTGCGCATACATTTTCTCTTTAAGAACTGTGAGTAATTCAGTAAACGTAACTACTCGTTCCTCTCTTTAACCTTCTCGCCATTCTTACCTTAGTTGGCACGTTCCTGTCCCGTTCCCTCAGCAGTCCGCTTCAGCTCCCTCCAGTTCAGATCTTTCACAAATTTTAGGTTATGGCTTATCTCAGGCCCTAATAGAGATATCGGATAAAGTCCAGCGCCAGCTGCTAATTTGGTTGTGTATGTCATCACCCTTTCTTTTAGGCAAGGGTTAATCCCTTACATTGCTTCACAGTCTGTCATTTAATCTTGATTTAAATTTTTTTTTTCGTGAAATAAATCTGGAGGAAAGAAAGAAATACACGTGTTCTTAAAAACACTGTTCGATTGCTGCTGGTGGTGGTGGTGATGGTCGCTGGTGCTACCAGGGCATGACAAAACGCCATAAGCTATCTCAAAGGAGTCTTCATGTTGTTTAAATCAATAAGACAAAAAAAGGATTTGGTTTTTTTTTGATAATTTATTTTATAGGTGCCCTTGAAGCTGGGATTTCGTTCTCTTATTTTGTTTTTATATACACAGCCCTTTTATGCTCAGAAGTGCTATTTTTAGGTCTAATTTACTGCACGCATGTAATGCGTGGCAGCTTCACACATCTCTTCTCCTCGCTGCAAATGCTGGCAATAAGCCCTTCCCCTCCCCTGTTTACTTAAATCTTTTCCCTTTGTGTTGCGAGGTGCTTTTGTACCCCTGTAGAAATTCCCATCTGGGCAGGTGTTGCTGGTGGAGGTAGATCTATATAATTAGTAATAGTTTTCCCTTGTGGGCTAGGCTGCAGGGAGATGCTGGGTTCTGTAATACGTATTGACCGGACAATCTCTTTTAAACAGGATACTGGATCTCCTAGAAGCTCTGTTGTGTATGGAAGCATTATTTCCTATATAGAAGGCTTTTTTAATGCCCTCGGGATGTCCTTTGGAGAAAGACAGGTACGAAACATCTATCTATATGGTAGCAGCGCCAGCGTTATGTTTTATAGAACGATTTCCGAAAGCGTCAGATGTAACAAAGTTATTTATGGTTCTAGTAAACCTTTCTGCACCGCTTGCAGCTTCTGCCGTGATGTCTTAGGAGAGCATGTGAGCAGGTGGAACAAAGTGTGGGCTTTTTTTCTTCTCAGAGGTATTCCCGTGTGACTTCTGCAGCAATTGCGCTGTGGAAATGAAAGTCTGAGGAATGAAACAAGAAAAAGTCAGTATTGGAGGCCTTTAAGTTGGTCCTGTTCTGTTTCTGGCTTTCCCCTGGCTCTTCCTCTTCTTTGGGATGGTTGCACGCAGGCTGACTTCGACAGCCGTACCAATGCTGGTGGCTGTGGCCTCCCTGCCCAGCAGGGTCCGGGGTCCGGCTCCTCTGCAGAAAGTCGGGATGCGGGGAAAGGGGCTGCTCTGCCTTGAGCCCTGGGAGGGTGCGGGGAGGGCCCATCGTTGGAAATTCCTTACCTCTCCTCTAGTGCTTGGAGAGGTAGGGATGGGATGGGGCGGGGGGGTGGACACACACAAAAAAAGAGAAGAAAGCTCAAAGCAAAGTACTGCCCAGGGAAGAGTGATAAATGTGGAGGTGATATCCTGATGGTACGGAAGGGGAGCATTTAAAATGACAGAAGGTGTTGGAGACCAGCGGGCTGTTCTGTGCTCCTCTCCTGCTCCAATCTGGAGCTGAATTACCAACAAGCTGAAAACTTTCTTTAGAGAAACGGTTTGGCAAAAATTTATTCTAGGGAGGAGGAGAAGAGGATAAGAAAATGTAAATAACATTATTCATCCTTTGAAAGGCAGTATAGCAATAAATGCATTTATTTAGTTTCCCTCTGGATTTTTTCCACAAAATTTCTTTCAAAACAGCTGTTGGATGAGATTTGGCTGTGTGTTACTCCTCATAACCTGTGGTTTGTCACGTTAATTTTCAGTGGCGTACTAAACACTTGTATTTGTAAGTTGGATGGCAAAGTCATTCCTCCACATTCTGGGCTGTCTGTATGCAGGTGCCTGCTGCACCTCTAGTTTTTGCTGAAACAAGTGTCTGAATGCTTTTCTTTTTCGTATGCTGTGCTAGTCTCTCTGGGGCAGCAGGGTCGGCAGAAGATGGTGCGAGGGAGGCGGGAAGGAAGGAGCAGCACGTCAGACTCTTCTCGGTCCCTCTGCTCTTTCAGCTTCCAGTAAATGAATCCATCCAAATCTTCATCGGAGAGGTCTGTCGGCTGCCGCAAGCTAGGAAATAAGGTGGTGCAGGGGTTGTTCTCTGACCT